AAATGCCACTCTAATTTTTGACGTGGAGCTCATGAAATTGGAATGACCCATCCCAGCACGCTGTCCTCGGGTAAGGAGGGGCAGCTTCTGTCAGGGACTGTGTGCATTGAGGACAGCTCAAGGGCCCTGTGTTTGATCTTGGGACAGTGTGGGGAGGTGGGATGGAGGCAAGGGGGGAGTGGGCAGTCATGGGGAATATGAGGAGGACAGAGCACATCTCTGGGTGTGGGTAGAAGTTGCTCTTGGGAGTCTGGTGAGCTGGGGTTCTGATCACTACAGTGCTACATGCAAAGTTCCCAGCCTGGCAGAGCAGGTTCACGTTGGTTCTTTGTGTCTTGGGTTCTGAGTGTTGTTGCACCAAGGGGGCTCAGTTGCCACAGGCCCTCCTGCCTCTCACACTGCCAGGGCATGGGGCTGATGGTGTGGGCAGGAGGGAATGACTGTGACCCAGGGGTTGGAGCACTTCTGCTATGGAGACAGGCTGAGAGCTGGAGTTGCTCAGCCTGGAGTGGAGAAGGCTCTGGGGAAACCTTGGAGCACCTTCCAGAGCCTAAAGGGGCTCCAAAGGAGCTGGAGAGGGACTTTGCACAAGGGCCTGAAGTGACAGGGCAAGGCAGAACAGCTTCACACTGACAGAGGGCAAGGGTACATTAGAAATTAGGGAGAAATTCTTCCCTGTGTGGCTGGAGGAGCCCTGGCACTGGCTGTCCAGAGAAATTACAGCTGCCCCATCCCTGGAAGTGTCCTAGGAAAGGTTGGATGGAGCTTGGAACAACTAGACTAGTGGACAGTGTGCCTACCTGTGCCAGGAGGCTGAAACAAGATGGGTCTTTAAGGTCCCTCCCAACCCAGCCCATTCTGTGATCCTGTGGGGCTCTGCCCTGGGGTGTGGGGTCCCCACGGTGTGGGCAGGGTGGGGCTGTGCTCCCCTCTCTGATCAAGGCTTGGCTGCTGCTCTGAGGCCTGGTGTGGTTTGCGTGGAGGCTGCTGTGCCCTGGGACATTCCCTCCCTGTCCAGCAGGCAGCTCTGTCACACTGCCTCTCCTCTCTCCACACAGGTTTGGCACATGGAGGAATCCAGAATCTCAGCTTCAAGAGGAGTGCACATGACTTTGTACGGAGCTTTTCCTGATAGTCCACTACACTCATTGTATAACCTTACACCTTGATTGAATGCCTTTGGTCACTAAGCTTTGCGTCTGACTCTTCCTCCTTGTATCGTGTTTTTATGTCTTTTTAAACTATACACCGTAAACCTCAACTCTTTTTGGGTCAAGTTCTTAATCTTATTTTTGTTCCAGGTGTAGACTTCGTTTTCCCAGTAGCACGCAGATGGGCTGACCTTAGATAGGAGTCATTTGAACAAAAGGAATCCTGTTAGTTACTTGTTTTGGTGCAGATTTATGGTGTTTCCAAACCAGAAATTGCTGCTGCTGCAAAAGCCATAGCAGAGTGAGGTTGTTGAGGCTGAAGGGATGCAGAGAGCAAGGTAGCACTAGGATTGTTTATAGGAATTCTGCCTGGAGTGGGACAGCGAGGGAGCCTGGCCTTTCCCTGCTCCCTGGGGAGCATCACTGCAGGCCTTGTGGGTTTGCTCTGGGAAAGGAGGGCTGCCCTGCCCCTGCTTCACCCTGCCATCTCATGGTGGGCCTGCCTTCCCCTCCAGATCATTTTTGGATTTAGGGAGTTGGGTTTCCACCAGAGCTCCACCACACCCTGAAAACCCCGTAGCATGGAGCTTTCTTTAAAGAAAAAGAAAAACTGGACAAAGGGAAGGTGCTGTCTGCAGGGGAGGTGGTGGGGGCTCAACTCAACAAAAACGCCTCTGTCCTCCTCCTTCCCCATGGAAAGGAACCATCAGCCCCCTGCTGTCCCTGCTCTGAGCACACCTGCCCATTCTCTCCTGCCACCTGATGCTGGTCATCGCTGCTTGCCTGGTCTCACAGGACGCATAGCTGTCCCCTGTGCCCCTCCCTCTGCCCTGCCCGGTCCCTTGGTAACAGAAATTCCCAACAGTCACTTCCTTCTCCGCCGCACAAAGGTATCCAGTTTATTATCGCAATAAAAACGCTTTATGCTGGCTTTTCTCAGCCCTGTGTCCTGAGGTTCTTCCCTCGCTCGTCTGTCGCTCAGCACAGCAGGGGCTGGGCTGGGCTGGGCTCAGGGGGTGCTGTGTGGGGTGCTCTGGGCTTGTGGGGTGCTGTGCCAGGCTCATGGGATGCTTTGGGTGCTGTGCCAGGGTCACAGGGTGCTGTGCCAGGCTCATGGGGTGCTTTGGGTGCTGTGCCGGGGTCGCAGGGTGCCGTGCCAGGCTCACAGGGTGCTTTGGGTGCTGTGCCAGTCTCACAGGGTGCTTTGGGTGCTGTGCCAGGGTCGCAGGGTGCAGTGCCAGGCTCATGGGGTGCTTTGGGTGCTGTGCCAGGGTCGCAGGGTGCTTTGGGTGCTGTGCCAGGGTCGCAGGGTGCCGTGCCAGGCTCAGGCAGTGCTGTGCCAGGGTTGTGTTGCTGTGCCTTGGTGTCAGGCTCAGGTGCTGGGGAGCACAATAGGGTGCCTGTGGCTCCTCTGCTCTGTGGGGAGGTGATGGTGGCCTGCTGGAATTTGCATAATTAATTGCCTCACCGTAACCTATTCAGCATTGCCCTCACAGCCTCATGCCCTTGTGGCTGTGACTCAACCTGGACTGGATAGATGGGTGCATGTTCCCATGGTCCTTGCAGCTCCAGGGAAGCCTTTCCTTGCACCTTTCTGGATTTATTTCAGTCCTTTTTGAAATCCACATGGGGCACAGCACATCACCTGCTTTGGCCTTTGCTGCTGCCCTGTGGGTGTTGTGTGTGTAGGACTGCTCAGGGCCAGTGCCTGGTTCCTCTGCTGACAACCTTTGATCAGTGTGCCACAACTGATAACACAGCCACGATCAATAACACAGCCTGTGCCAGCTGCCAAGCAGTTTGTGTGTAATGTGCCCTGGAGGGAGCAGTGGCCCTGGGGCAGGAGCAGCTCAGGCATTGGGATCCATCCAGGAGCATCGGTGCCTGCACAGGGCCCTGCAGGAATGAGCACGGCCCTTAACTGCGGCTCAGTTAAGCAGAACAGGAGCTTGTGGGGCACCAGCACCCTGCTCTGTCTTTGCTGTGGCCGTTTCTGGCTGGAAGCTTGAGGCCAGTTTGTGTTTCTCTTCCTGCAAAGCTTTTTGCTTTAATTATTAACCAATGCCAGGCAGTGCCATGGCTTCTGGCTGGGGCTAAGCCAGGGCAGGGGGGAGGCTGAGGGAAGCCCCCTGCCCTTGGGCCCTCAGCCCCTGCACAGCTCCTGAAGCGTCCATGCGTGCAGGTGGGGTGTGAGTCCCCACAGCTGTGGTTTTGTGGGGATGAGGGTTTAGGGAATGAACAGACTCCAGGAAACAATCCTCTCTGTCTGTGCAGGACTCTCCCTGCTGCTGGCACTGTTCTTGTCCTGGGCTGGTCAAGGCAGCTGGGCACGATCCAGCTAAAAATAACAGCAGTAAATAAAACACTTCCTCCTGGCCTGGCACGCTGGAGCGGAGGCACAGGGAGCTGGGATGTGCCTGGCTGCGGCTCCACAGCGGGACTGACCCCGTGCCAGGGAGCTCTGGGCTGGTGCCACCAGGTCCAGGCCTGTTTGAGTGCCCGCAGCAGCCCTGGGGACACAGTGGCCCATGGCACCCTCAATGCCAACAGCAGAATGTCACTGCTGGAGGGCTGGATCCCCAGCTGACGTGGTGACGGCCCAGGGCAGCAGGATGCCACGGGCACCCCAGCTGAGCTCTGTGCTGGCTCAGTTTCTCCACCTGCAGCATGGGACTCCCACGGCTGGCACGTGTCCCAGGTGACGTGGGGAAGGGTGTGGGACACGGGATGGCGGGCACGGCCGCGTCAGCCCCACGAGCCACAGCAGAGAGGTGAGAGAGGTGTCAGCAGGAGCCACCACCCACGCAGGGGATCACAGAGGGGACCCCCTGCACCCCCAGCAGGGCCTGTGGGGCCCAGGAAGGATAATGGGGGGGGGTCCCAGTTGGGGGGCCAAGCCATGTGCTGGGGGTGGCAGGAGAGGGGATGCAGTGGGGCAGGGGGACACCACGGGGGGGTACAGTCCCATCCCTGCTCCCCTAGAATGCCCAAACCTACAGAAAGCCATCCCTGTCCCTAATCCAATCCCTGTCCCTAATCCAATCCCTGTCACACCCCTGCAGTGCCAGGGCTCTGTGAATTGTTGCCTTCATCCTCTTCTTCCTCTTCCTCACCTGTGCCCTACCTAGCGGGGGTGCAATCAGCTGAGGCTCTCTGGCCCCTCCCTGGGCTGGGCCTGGCTATAAAACACAAGGGCCAGGCAGAGGGTGTCACAAGGATCGGGAGCTGTTGGCAGGTGAGTCCGGGGGTGCCAGGGCTGGATTTGGGGGGTTTTGTCTGTTGGAGGCTGCTGCTATCCCTGGGCTGGAGATGGGATCCTGCCTGGTTCCCACAGGGCTCAGAGCTGGGTCTGGATTTGGCCTCTACACAATGAGTTTTGGATTATGCTTTTTGGGGCACAAGATGCCATAGAGTAGGTCTGGGGGGCACAGCCTTGGGCACAACAGGAGGTGCAGAGGGGGCTGCTGGTGTGTACGAGGGCTGTTCCCATGGGACACCTCACTGCTGTGTCTGGGTGATGCTGGAATGGCCCCAGCTGAACATGGGGAGCAGAGGGGTCTGATGAGGTGCAAAGGGGCCATTCCCGTGGGAAATCCCCTTCCCCTGTGTGGGTGGTGTTGGGATGGCTCTGTGGGGCAGGCGGACATGGGGAGCAGGACCTGCTCCATCCGTGTCCCAGCCACCAGGAAGTGATGGTGGTGTGACCCTGGTGACATAGCCCTGAGTCACACTGGAGACTGCAGGTGACAGGGAGCCCATGTCCGGTACACGGGCTGGGAGTGATGCTTGGAGAGAGGCAGCCCAGTCCCTGAACTGCCCCATCCCTGTCCCCAGACAGCAGCAGCAGCGATGGCAACACTCTACCCCTCCCTGGAGGACATGAAGGGCCACCAGGTCCTGCAGGTCAGTGCCAGCTCAGCAGCGTTACAGGGGTGAGCAGACCCCCATGGGGCCCTGTGGGGTCTCACCTCAGAGGGTCCCCAGGCTGGGGGGCACAGCATTGAGCACGCTGTCTCTTGGCAGGCACAGGCAGCAGCTGGGGTGAGGACCCCTGCCACCACAGTGGCCACAGAGAAGCCAAAGCTCACCTCTGCCACCACAGCAGCCACAGAGAAGCCAAAGCTCACCTCGGGCACTGGTAAGGTGGGACATGATCAGCTCACCCTGTGCAGGGGCTCTCTGGGTGGGCAATGATGCCCAGCGTGGGGGGGGGGTCAGCTGAGACCCCCCCACAACTCAGTGCATGGGTTGGGGATGGGATTTTGGGGTCTCTTTTTGTTGGCCCACTGTCCCAGGGGGCTCCTGGGGTGGAGGAGGCCATGGCTCTGGGTTGGGGGCCCCAGGAGATGAGACCACCCTCGGTATGTCCCTCAGAGCCTCCTGTGCTGTACCCCAACCTGGCCGAGCTGGAGAACTACATGGGGCTGGCGCTCTCCAGCGAGGAGATCCAGAAGAACCTGGGCACGGAGGACAGCACCGTAGGTGTCTGGGCTGGCAGCTCCCTGCCCCATGGCTCCCTGTGCCTGAACGGGGCTCCCTTGGGTTCTTCACCCTGCCCGAGAAGGGATGCACCCCTCCCGAAGGGGGGCTGAGGCGTCCCCCTGTCCCCACTGACCCGCAGCTCCCCCCCAGCAGGCGCTGACCCCCGTGGGGCCCTCCCCAGGCCAGCTGGTGGCTCCCCTGAGCGGGAACAGCGCGGGGCTGAGGCGGGCAGAGATCAAACCGGGCGTGCGGGAGATCCACCTGTGCAAGGACGAGCGCGGCAAGACGGGGCTGCAGCTCAAGAACGTCGACCAGGTGAGGGGCTGGGCATGGCACGGGGCTGGGCATGGCACGGGACTGTGTCATGGCATAAGCGTGACAGTAGAGCACAGCGTGACGTGGCAGTGTATCACAGCCATTGTGTGTGGCATTAAATGTCACAGCGTGCCACAGCACAGCAGGGTGCAGATGGCACGGCATGGCATACCATGGTGCACGGCACAGCCACTGGTCCCTGTGCCAGCCCTGTGCCACCACTCCACTGTGTCCCCAGGGCATCTTCGTGCAGCTGGTGAAGGCCAACTCGCCAGCAGCGCTGGTGGGGCTGCGCTTTGGGGACCAGGTGCTGCAGATCGACGGCAAGAACTGTGCGGGCTGGAGCAGTGACAAGGCACAGCGTGCCCTGAAGAAGGCCAACCCTGAGAAGATCGTCATGGTGGTGAGGGACAGGTGGGTGCCTGGTGACACCGGTGGGGGTGGCATTGTCATGGTGGTGAGGGACAGGTGAGTGCCTGGTGACACCGGTGGGGGTGGCATTGTCATGGTGGTGAGGGACAGGTGAGTGCCTGGTGACACCGGTGGGGGTGGCATTGTCATGGTGGTGAGGGACAGGTGAGTGTCTGGTGGCACCGGTGGTGGTGGCAGTGCCGGTGGCAGCACTGACGGTGCTCCCCCCGCAGGCCGTTCCAGCGCACCGTGACCGTGCACAAGGACAGCACCGGCCACGTCGGCATCGTGGTGAAGAAGGGCAAGATTGTGTCGCTAGCCAAGGACAGCTCGGCCGCCCGCAACGGGCTCCTCACCCACCACTGCATCTGCGAGGTGAACGGCCAGAACGTCATCGGCATGAAGGTGGGGCTGTGTCCTGGGGATGCCAGATGTGGCCAGAGGATCCAGGAGGGAGGGGGATACTGAGCAAAGCTGGGCACCCCATGGAACACCCCCCTCTCTCTCTCTCTCCTGCAGGATAAGCAGCTCATGGAGGTGCTGGCAGGGGCTGGGAACGTGGTGACACTGACCATCATCCCCACCGTGATCTACGAGCACATGGTCAAACGGTGAGAATGTGGGGCTGCAGGGACCCACACACCCCACAGGGACCCCCGGGCTCACCCCACTGACCTCCCTTCCCTCCGCTCAGGCTCTCATCAGGGCTGGTGAAGTCATCCATGGACCACTCCATCCCTGACCTGTGACACCATCGCTGCTGTTCCGGGAGCTGGTGCTGGAAGCCCTGCTGAGAGGACCCCACAGCACCTCCAAAGGAGCTATTCTGGCACAAAACCCCTTATCCTGTCAGAGTCTGGTGGCTGCTGGGTGGTTCCTCCTCTCTTCAGCAAGGATGGGGCAGCTGTCCTGTACCAGGGTCGCACTGTTCCCCGTGTCCCTGCTTGGGCCACCCCCTCAGGGCAGATGCCAAGGGCTGGCTCCAGCCGAAGCAGACACAGACCCAGCGACATTTATTACATCCACCACAGACAGCGAGTACAGGACAGGGGAAACAAGAAGAGGGGGGTTACAGCTTTTTCAGTTCTGTATTTAAAAAATATATTATATAGATTTGTCTTTCAAATATAGTCGTTACATTTATTTCTTGGCAAAGCTTTGGATAGCCTAACAGACGTGTACACAGATCCACAAATACATTGCACGAGAGGCGAATATCCCAGCTCCACTTACAACTGCCCTGGGCACTGCTGCTCCCCAGATCCCTCCCCCAGCACCTGGGGCTGTGCTGGTGGCAGAGCTGCTGTCCCCACTGCCCCCCAGCACGGGCAGAGCTGGCAGAAGGGGGATGCAGGGGAGCGTGGGGCACGCAGGATGTGGCACGTGCCCCTCTGGGGACCGCTGGACACCGGCGTGTGGAGCGTCACCGGCTGCCAGGGCACCCACGGGCGGCACCCACGGGTGGGGAGCGGGCCTGGGTCGGGGTTGGGGGGAAACACTGTTAGTTCAAGTCACGAAGAAACCACAGACATTCGTGGGGTGGGAGTGCGGCACGCCCGGGGGAGCCCCAAGTCCCGCGCCCCAGCAGCCCCGCTGAGCAATCTTTGCTGTCTTTGTGTTTCAACAACAACAAAAAAAAGGCATTTTTTTTTCCGGAGGCCGCCAGCAAAGCGGGGGTTTGGGCGGGCCGGGGCGGCAAAGGGCTTGGCTCTGCCTGCACGGCACTGCCCGCACCCCAGCGAAGGCATCCGAGCTCCAGCAGGCGGTGGGATCACCGGCATCACGGCGGACAGCACTGCAGGAGCCCCGGTCCCGCTGCCCGGCACCCAGAGTCCCAACAGCCGGGCTTCAGTCTGTACCCAAAAAAAAGTGAATATAGTGCAAAGCAAAGGGAGGGAGAGCCCACGGCTTCCTCGGGGGGCTCCGTGCGTGATCTGCAGCCCAGTTCCATCCCAGTGTGGGAGCTGATCCCTGTGTGTGGACAGGAACCCCCATCCCCTGCCCACAGAAAGACACCGCACCTGCAGCCAGGAGCCGCTGCATCCCCAGCGCCCCACGCTGCCAGCGGCTCCTCGCCATCCCCCGCCCGTGGCACGGCCGGCCAGGGGACTACCCGGCGACAAACAAAAAGCAAGTGCGATGGAGGGAGAGCCCCCCTGGCGGGTGCAGCCCCAGAGCCCCCCGCAGCCAGAGGCACAGGCAGGGGTGTCCATCGGCGGGGGTGACGCTGCGCGCCCCCCTTCCAACAACGGTTCTTTCCCTCCTCCAGGAGCTGCGGGGGAGGCAGCAGCACACCTCGATGCACCCACAGATCCCTCGGCCCCTTCCCACCCGCCCGTGCCACGCCGGGGCTTTACAATCAGCAGTCGGGTCCGTGGGGGCGGGCGGAGGGCGCCGGAGGGGTCAGGGCTGGGCAGCGCCGCCGGGGCCGGGGCTGGCGACGGGGCGACAGCCCATCCTGCGGATGGAGTGCAGGGCGACGGTGCAGCAGCCCCGCAGCAGCGAGCTGATGTTGTAGATGGGCTGGCCCTGCCGCCGCTGCGAGCGGCACAGCCAGGCCACCGTGGGCACGGCCGGCACCACCACCGCCAGCAGATCCACGATGAAGTGGCGGCTCCAGTAGCTCTTGGAAGGGTTGGTCTCGCAGCCGGTCACCTCCATCAGCTCCTCCTCCGCCACGCAGGCGATGGCCACCGAGGGGCTGGCGCTGGGGGGCTGCCGCACCGCCGGGTTGCAGGGGACGCCCCCCTCGGCGCTGGCAGCCGCCGCCGCGGCGTCGGGCTCGGCCACCGTCAGGTCCGTGGTCCCGCTGGGGTTGGCGAGCTCGGGCACGGGCATCGTGTCTTCCATTTCAGAGACCCAGGCGGACGTGGGGCTGCCCAAGCTGCAAGCCTGGGACTTCATCACCTTCTCTAGGATGGTGTCCAGGTCGGGCTGGCAGGGCACGAAGTCCGTCTGGATGGCCCGCTCCTGCATGCAGCTGGCCTGCACGCCCGCCTCCGCGCTGCTCCGCAGTCCCAGCACCTTCTCGTAGGTGTTGCTGGGGGGCAAGCGGGTGCCGGGCTCGCCCCCCACCTCCAGCGGGTCCGTGTGGCCCGGAGCCTCCTCCATGCCCACGAAGCCGCTGTCGGCACCCTCGTCCAGCGAGATGGTCTGCGAGCCGCCCACGTTGCGGTCCCCGGCTCCCTGGTCGCTCAGCTTGGTGTAGGTGGAGCTGCGGGTGAGGGATCGCGCCGGGGACCCCCCGGCCGACTCGCCGGCGCCCTCGTCCTTCAGCGCCCCGTTCTGTGCCACCTCCATGCTGTGCAGCAGCGTCTCCAGCTTCTTGTTCTGGATGTTAATGTCCACAAAATACTTCTGGAGGCCTTTGTCCTTCTCCAGTAGGTTGTTCTTCACGGTGTCGATGACCTGCTTCAGCTGCTTGATCTCCTTGCGAGCCTCTTTGAGCGCCAGCTGGGCCTCCACGCGGTGGCACTCCTCCTCGATCCAGTCCTCCTGCATCCGCGACAGCTGCGTCTTCAGGTCCTCGATCTCAGCATCCCTGCGGAGACGGGAGGGCAGCACCGCGGCGCTGAGGGGGCTGCGGGGACAGCCCTGTCCTCTGTGCCCAGCGCTGGGCTGCACCCAGATCACCCAGTGACACTCCCAGCTGGGAACAAGGGATGGATCCAACGCTTTAGGGACCCTCAGCAGTGATGCTCAGGGAGCCTCAGGAGCAATGATCAGGGACCCCCAGGAGTGATGCTCAGGGACCCTCAGGAGTGACACTCAAGCACCCCAAGGATGGATGCTCAGGACATCAGGAGCGATGTTTGGGGACTTTCAGGATTTACGCTCGGGAACCCTCAGGACTGATGCTCAGGGCCCCCTGGCAGCACTGTTTGGAGCAGTGGGAGCTCAGGGACCCCTGCAAGTGATGCTCAGCCCTCTCCCCAGAGGCTGCAGTGCCCAGGTCCCCTGAGGGCTGCGTGGGGGTGGGCAGGTGCCCCGGGCAGGCGCGTGGCAGCTGGCACGGCAGCGGGGCTGTGCCTAAGCCTGAGAGGAGCAGATGGGGATTAGCCACCCTCTGACGCTGAAATTCAGCAGAAGCATGGCAGGGACTTAAACAGGGTGAGGGGAGAACACAGCCACTGCAGGTGGGATGTGGGGCTCCCCAGTCCCCAGATCTGCAGCTCCCAGGTGGGACAGGCAGCAGTGCCAGATCCCACATGCCAGCAGTGCCATGGTACAGCTGTGCCCTCAGTCCCTGGGCACGAGCACGAGGACAAGGTGCCATGCTGGGAACTGAGAACCCAGAAGGAGCAGTCTCAGACAGGAGCTGCCATGGTGGGTGGCAATGGCTGGTGCTGGCTCCCTTCCCACGAGCTCACCTGTCCTGCAGCCGCTCCTGGGTGTCCTTCAGGCGAGCCTTGAGGTGCCGGATGCAGACCTCCTTCTGCTGCAGGGGCGTCAGGTACTGCTCCGGCGTCGGGGGCTTTATCCCATGGTTGTCACTGCACAGGTTGTACTTGGACGAGCGCCTGCAGGGACACAGATGTCACCAACTGCCAGTGTCAGGGTCAGCACAGGCTTGACCCGGGGGTTCTAAGGCCGGCTCTCGGGGTGCAGCCCCGTAATACACCCCAACGGAGCTCTGAGAGCAGGAGGAACAGGGTGGGTGCATGAGGGTGCTGTGCCCAGTGAGAGGGGCAGGGTGGGTGTGCTGTGTGCTGTGTGCTGTGACTCTGGCAGGACAGACAGGGTGGGTGTGCTGTGTGCTGTGCCCTGGCAGGACAGACAGGGTGGGTGTGCTGTGTGCTGTGCCCTGGTCAGGTGGGGCAACGTGGGTGTCTTCAGTGCTGTGCCCTGACAGGAGGGTGGGTGCAGCTCCTGGACACAAAGGTGCTGCTGTCAGATGCTGAGTGCTCTGTGGTGCTGGGGACTTTGCTAGGCCATGAGCAGAACCAGGACCACCAAGGTCTCTGTGTGCCCAGAGAAACCTTTGTGGAAACAACTGATGTGGATGGAGACCCCAGGGTGGGATGGGCCCCACCAGAGATGGAGGTCTGGAGATTGTGGCTGTCCTGCCCATGGGGAGCAAACCAGGGAATCCAGCACCTGCTCTGGGCTGGGTCAGCAGCATGTCTGGACCTTCCTTATGCCACCACTGGCACTGGGGCAGATGAAGTGACATCTCTGGCCCAAAGCCTGGGACAGTGCAGAGAACAGGGGCTGGCCAGGGCTCCATGGCCAAGCTGGGAGGCACGTGGAGAGGTAGGAGCTGCACGAGTGGCTCTGGCATGACACTGGGGGACCAAACTCCCTATGAATGGAAAGGCAGCGTCCCAAAGCACCCCTGCATGGTGTCCATCAGCCCAGCAGCCTTTAGCCATGTCCAGAAGCATTGTGTGAGAAGCACCCATGCCTTGGAATGCCCAATGACAGCGGGAGGGCCACTGCCCTGGCTGCAGCACACATGGCACCTGCTCACCATGTCACCCTCAGGCCCCTCAGATCCTCCCAGAACGATTCCACCTCTGGGGGCTGGCAAGGGACAGGCAGGTGATGAGCAGGGCACCACGGGCTGCTGTGCCTGCAGGGCTGGGGCTGGTGCCCAGTGCTGGCTGTTTGTGCCCCGAACACACGCAGAGCTCCAGGGGGCCAGCAGCTCTTGCCAAACCTTTGCCGGACAGCACAGGGGGATGGAAGCGAAGCTCTTGCCCTCGTGCCTTTGGCCTGGAAGGATCCGGGCGCTCCCTGGAATGCGGGAGCGGCGGGAGGGAGCGTGCAGCGTGCAAGCCACAGGCACAGCAGGACGGAGGGAGAGGACGGGGGAGCCCTGGGTGGCAGGCGGGGGGACAGGGAGGGAGACGACACGACAACGGCGGCGGAGAGGTTTGCAGGAGGAGGGTGGTGAGGGTCTGTGGAGACACACCAGCAGCAGCAGCTCCGGCAGCTCCGGCTCCCCCGGCCACCAAGCGCTCAGCCTCCTGCAGCGGCCCCTGCGCTCCTGCCCCCGCTGGCACCGGCACCGGGACTGCTGCCCCTGCCCGGGGGCACCCAGCAGCCGCCCTGGGGCCACGGGTGATGGGTTACCTTGGGGTGGGGCTGCTGTCGCTGCCCTTGCAGGAGCCAGAATTGCTGCTGCTGCTCAGCGAGGAGGTGCCGTAGGTGTCCCTCCCGGGGGGCGAGGGGCGCCTGGAGGCAGGGAGAAGAGGCTGTGTCTCAGGCCGAGTGGCTGAGGGCGCTGAAGACTTAAAGAAGGAGGCAAAGCCACTCCGTCCATAAACCCCGCGACTGCCAACCACCACACCGAGAACACACAAGACAAAAGGACAAAACAAACAGCAGGGATCAAAATCGCACGGACATGGCGACGGGCACAAAGGCAGGGCTGGGGGGGATGTCCTCCACCCGCTCCCCCTTCCCTGGCCTGGCAGCCCATGGATGCTGGCACAGCATCCTCGCACCCTGAGGACCTTGGGAGCCCCTGGGATCCCCTTGGGTGCCCCATAGAGTCCCCTGGGAGCAGTCCCAGCATAGCTCCAGCCACATCTGCCAGAGCATCACCTCGACGTGGGCAGCTCTGCCTGTTCTCCCTGCCCACGCTGAGCCTGCGCCTCCATTTGGGCAGTCCAGGTCATGGAGACATCGCCAGGGGAACAAATGCCTTTTCCCTTTTTCTCTCTTTACCAGCTCAAGGAGACATTTTCCAAAGGCTAACATACCTCCCAGCTTCATTGCCCCAACCCAGTGCTCTCCACCACTGCCTGCCTTCGCCTGGACGGACGGAGGGGTCGGTCCTGGCCGTGGCACAGACGGACAGAGGGACAGGGCGTGCAGCACTCGGGGAGCTGCATGCACGGACAGGGAAGTGCTGTGCAGCGGGCAGTGCCATGCAAACCCCCGAAAGCTGGGCTGGGGGCTGGTGCTGCGGACTGGCAGCCGGTGGAGGAGGTGTGGGGATCGTGGGGAGCGTCTCATCCCGGCTGCAGGCGCTGGAGTCCAGTCCCGAGGCCAGAGGCTGAAGCATATTCACCTTCGTGATCCCGTGGACGCGCGTCTGCTCCCCGGCACGGACATGGCCACAGTGCCACGGCTCCTGGCCACAGGGAACTGCAGGCAAAGGCAACAGAGAGAGCAGGTGAAGGCAGGAAAATGGCCCTGATGAGATGTGGGGTGAGCCCTGGCACCAGGGCATCAGTACAGTCCCCAGGGCCACCAGTACAGGGACACATGAGGACAACATGCCCTGAACATCTGGGCTGGGCTTCCACTTGGCTCCCATTGCCCAGAAATGCCAGAATGCTGCATGCCTGTGGGCACAGGGCAAGGTGTTCTTAATTGAAAAAGCAGATCAGAAGCAGAGCAAATGCCTGCCCATGGTCTGGAGCCCCCTTCTCACCACAGGACAAGCTTCCCCCTGCTCCCAGACGCCCATCCCTGTCAGGAAGCAGGGCAATGCCACAGGGACACAGAGTGCCTGCAGTGGGCGCATTACTGGGGGCAGAGATGGTGCAAGGGCTCTGACCCAGCCATGGAGCTCTCCCTGCAGTGGGCTGGGTGCCTGCTTTTCCTTAATTAAGTGCAAATCCCCCATTCAGCAGTGAAATCAGGTGAGGAAGAACAGATCCCTGCAGGATGAAGCAGCTGCTAATCCCTAGGGAAACACAGAGCCTCCTTTCCTGTAAATAAATAGGCCAGATCCAGAGGCTTGCAGCACCTCGGGCACACGCAGGATGTGAGGGAATGAGGGAAGCATCCGCTCAGCACCCACATCCTGCCGAGCACCCCATGGCACTGCTGGGATCCCCACTGTGCTCCCAGACTGCCAGAGACCGACGGGGATGGGGGCAGCACGGGCCCCCCCCCATCCCCAGACCTGTTCCCAATGCCAGCATTTATCTCAGCTTTTGGCAGAGCAGTGCAGAGATGGGACCTGCCAACAGACAGTCGACGGGTGACAGGAAACACTCCGTGCTGCTGGCCCTGCTCCAGGGGAGTGCCAGGAGTGGGACAGCAGGGGAGGCAGCACAGGAAGGGGGGCACATCCAGCTCACCCCAGGGCAGCCCTCTACATTTGCAACCCCAGGTGTTTTTTTTTTTTTTTTCCAGGATACCTCAAAACCCACCCTGGCCAGCCCAGGTCCCTCCTCTGCCCAGGATTTGCTGCTCCCTGACCCCCAAACCAGGGCACCAAAAATCCCAGAGCACTGATGCTGTGAAGTCCCAAGCCCCGGCAGGCACAGTGCCCCATGACAGAGGGGTGCCAGCACCCCTGGGACACTGCAAGAAGGATTTGGGGACCCTGCTGCTCCCTCCTGGGATGGATTTGCCTGGAGATGACCTGGGCTGGGGAAGGCAGTGTTCTGTCCTGCTGGATCACTGCTCCCAAGTGGGCAGCAAGCTCTGCTGCTGCAGCAGCGTGAATCAGCATCCACAGAGAGCTGAGCACGGCCTCAGGCTGGCAGGAGCATCCTCCAGGATTCTCTGTCACCCTCCAGGATTCTCTGTCACCTCCAGCAGGGATTTAGGGAGATTTGGGAGGGTTGATTCCTCACCCTCTCCCTGCAGCCCAGTGGTATCTGGTATAATGCCAGGGGTGCCCATCATCAGCTCAGCTGGACCTGGATCTTCCCCTCCCATGCCAAGGTCACCCTCATGGCACACCGCTCTGTGCAGGGGTCCCTCTGTGCCCCAGCAAGTGCCAGCACTGCAGATGGCCACATGTGTGTCCAGCAATGGGGCTGTGAGAGCACCCCAGAGCACACCCCAGCCCTGCTGCCACCACCACAGCCTGGGATGGCTCTGTGGGGACACCTGGGTTTGCCCTCACGTCTGGGGATCTCATTTCCTCCTCTTCCCACTGCTGCAGACTTGCCTGGTGCCCACACCAAGGCTTGATGCCTCCCACAGCACCCAGGGTGTCTGGAATTTAATCTGTGATGATAAATTGTCATCATTCCCAAAGGATCAATGGGCCACTTCAGTGTCCCCAGGAGCCTCACTGTGCCCAGAGGCTGCCCAGGACAGGCAGGGTGAGCAGATTCAGCACCAAAGCTGAGCCCACACCTTCCCATATGGTATGTGGCTACTAAAGACAGAGGAAATCACAGATCTGCACTCAGAATTACCTCCGGGATGAGTAATTGCAGCACCAATGGAATCCCACCAGGAAAGTGAGGGGGAATCCAGGATTAACCCTGGTCTATGGGTGGCATCCCTGCCCATAGGAGGGGGGTAAAAACACAGAATGGTTTGGGTTGGAAGGGACCTTGAAAACAATCTCATTCCAACCCTCTGCCATGGGCAGGGACACCTTCACTGCCCCAGGCTGCTCCAAGCCTTGTCCAACCTGGCCTTGGACATTTCCAAGGATGGGGCAGCCACAGCTTTTCTGGGCAAACTGTGCCAGGGCCTCAGCACCCTCACAGGGAAGAATTTCTTCCTAATATCCCATCTAACCCTGCCCTCTAGCAGTGGGAAGCCATTCCCTGTGTTCTGTCACTCCATGTCCTTGTCCAAAGTCTCCTTCCAGCTCTATTGGAACCCCTTTAGGCACTGGAAGAGGCTCTAAAGGTCTCATCAGAGCTCCACCAGCTCTCTCAGCCTGTCTCCACAGCAGGGGTGTCAGGGCAATCCATGGACCAAGACCAAGGTGACCTGGGGGGCACTGGCTTGTTTCCATTCTGGGGGAGCTGTGGGGCCCTGCTCAGCACAGCACCCCTGGCAATGCCAGCACGGGCCAGTCTGACACCACAGCTTACACCAAACCCAGAGATTGTCCTGCAAACCACCTGCCTGTGCTCCAGCACCCTGCAAATCCCCCAAAATGCAGCCTGAGGGCTGAGCAGGGTGGGCACTGCCCATTGCAAAGACCAGCGTGCTGCTGACAGCAAAACTCCCTGTGGGGCTCCAGCACGCGTGGAGCAGAAGGGCAGAGCTTTTACAAACAACAGCACAAACCAGGGTTTGTTCCATGCAGTGGAATCAGCCTGGAGAATTCCTGATGAATAAAAGCAATGGGCCTTGGTAAGGAAACAGCTGGAGCTACAGCATGAGAGTGGATCCCCCACACCGGGCTGGGATGCAGAATCAGGACCAGTCCCCCACACTGCCACTGTCCTGGGGGGTGACACTCATCTTCTGGTGGGTCCCCAGCTCCTGCTGAACTGCTGATCACGCTGTGACAGTGATGGATGGCAGAGCAGGGACAGAGTGAGGCTCACCCTGGTGTCCCACAGGAAGATTTCCCTGGCTCAGCTGGATCACTGCCCCACAGAAGAAGACGCTTCTTCGCCTCAAATCCTGCCACTTCCCCACTCCCTGCTGGATCCCCTGGCTGTGCCAGTGATGGACAAATCAGACTGGGCAGGTATGGCCCTTCCTAGATGCTTCTCACATGGGAAACAGGGACACAGGACCTCTGGAGAGATCCTCATCATGGCCCAGTGAAGCCTCTGATGGTTCCTCAGCTTGTTCCTCTGAGGATTTCATGGCTGCAGGCTCAAGAGTTGTTCCCATCAGCTTCCAAAGCTCAGCTTCTGCAAGATTCAGAGGGATCCAGCTCATCCCATGCCCACAGGGCACAGAGAGGTGTGACAGCCTGCAGCTCACTGCCAGTGTCAGCCCTCAGCACAACACTGCTGTGCCAGCAGCTGCCACATTTCCCTGCATTTCTCGCTCACTGCTTCCTTTGTCGAGGCTCCCATCATGCTGCCTGCTGCTGGATTCCTGTGTTTCCCTTGGCATATCCTGTGTGAGGAATCTTTTGCAATGGTGGCACTGAGCCCAAATGTCTGAGAGCAGCTTCACCCACTGCAGAGCTCTGGGAGAGAATCGTGGTGTCCCCATGGGTCCCCTGGGACATCTTCAGCCTCCCAGGGTGAGCAAGATTGAAAGCAGAGAGAACACGGAGAGGGAAACTACAGCTTTGTTTTTCCAGGGGACAAAAAGGGCTCCCAAGGACCCACCCTGCCTTCCTGATACTGGCTCTGCTTTTCTATGCTCAAAAAATAAGCAAAGTGCTGGATGTGGCCAACAAGCAGCAGCTGATGGGGGCAGAGCCCTTGTTCCTGGACAGTGGCAATGCCAGGGCTGCTTGCACTGGAAAAGGGACTGGGATACAGCTGGGTTGCAATGGGAAAGAGCAGGATCCAGCGGCCAGGGCTGGCAGAAGTCCTGGTGCAGGAGGGGACAGCACTGGGACCACCACGTGGGCAGCTGGGGGCAAACATCCATGACTGTGTCCACTCCTCCTCCTGCATGGGGGATTTCTGGGATACAGGGATTGCTTTGCTTCTGCTCCAAGAGGATTACAAGGATGTGGCAATATCTCCAGAGGCTCTGCTCCAGTGTGGATGGGTTCATCCCAAAGTTTCACCTGTGTCCCAGGCAGAGGGAGATCATGGAATCACAGACTCATTTAGGTAGGAAAATACCTTTAATACCTTCAAATCCAACTGCTAACCCAGCCCTGCCCAAGCCACTGCTAAATCCAGCTCAGGGCAGAGACAAACCCCATGGGGTGTTTATGCAACACCACCAGAAAAATCAATGTTGCTAAGAGTGGCAGTATCCCATTCCAAAAGGCAGGAGCATCTCCTTTTATTCTCCTGTTTGTTATAAAATGCTGAGTTGACATCCAGAGATTACAGGAAAACAGACACCATTTGGAAAGCTCGGGTTATGCAGCTCATCACTTTTCCAGCTGACCTGGCTGCAACTCCAAACAGGGAGGTGGCAATTCCCAGCCCTCATGAGCTAAAATAAGGTGCTTGAGCAGAGGGCAAAGGCTGGGCTCTCACTGGGGACTGGAGTCAAAGGGAAATGGGAAAAGAGCTCCATGGCAAGCGCTGGAGCAGCATGAGAGCAGGAGTGGGACACGCAGGATGCAGACCCCGCGGTCCCACCCATGCCAGGAAGGTCAGCAGGCTGGGATGGAGGTGACATCCCACCGCACAGCCCACCCTGCAGAGGTGCTCTGGCAGGAGCCGAGCCGAGCTGCGCGAAGCACAAGGAACAGCCCACTCCTTTGAGATACAAAGGCAAAAACCTGGAAGACAAACCCAGCTTCCAGCGCACCAGCTCCGCCTCCCCTCCGAGCCTCGGCGGAAGCAGGTCTCCCCTATCCTCCATCCCTCCACCTTGAGCGAGGGCTGGGAATGACGGCGGTGCCGGGGGATTAGCCCTGCTCTCCACACCGCTGGAATGGCCTACTTTACCCACACACCGCATCCCCTGCCTGCCGCAGCACCTCCGAGATGGGAGCACGGGCACTGCCCCTCTGACCCCCACCCTGGCACCCCCCGACACCAGGATCTGCATCTTGGGGCACACGGTCATAGCACAGCGTGCCTGTTGCCCAGCCAGCCTGGGAACACGGATTTTATAAACAGAACAGGCACCCAGCAGTGGGTTCGGTGCGACAGCCACAGCGCTGACCTTGTGGGGAGAAGAGAACAGAACACCCGGCTCACCAACCCGCCGGGGTGTTCCTGTGTCCCTTGGAGACGGAGCATGGAGCCATTAAATAATAAAATGTCAACTGCAGAGCAGCCCCAGCTCCTGCAATACCCCATGGTGCCGGAGACACTTTGGAATGCTGCACAAGCAGCAGACATGGGGCTGGTGCTTGAAGGGAGAGGCTGGTGCAGGAGATGTGGGTTTGGGGTGTGCAGGGAGGGTTTGGGGCGTGCAGGGATGGTCTGGTGCATGTGATGTGGGTCTGGTCCATGTGACACGGGGTTGGTGGATGCAGGGAGGGTCTGGTGCATGAGATGTGGGTCTGGGGTGTGCAGGGAGGGTCTGGTGCTTGCAGGGAGGGTCAGATGCATGTGACGAGGGTCTGGTACAATGAGATGTGGGTCTGGTGTGAGATGTGGGTCTGGGGTGTGCAGGGAGGGACTGGCGCAGGTAATGTGGGACTGGGGCATGCAGGGAGGGTCTGGTGTCCGTAATGTGGGTCTGGAGTGTGCAGGGAGGGTCTGGTATCTGTAATGTGGGTCTAGGGTGTGCAGGGAGGGTCTGGTATCTGTAATGTGGGACTGGGGCGTGCAGGGAGCGTCTGGTGCAGGAAATGTGGGTCCGATGCATGAGATGTGGGTCTGGAGGGCGCAGTGCAGGTTTGGTGAGTGCAATGCATGGCTGGTGCTGCTGTGTGGGTCTAGTGCATGTCACACGGCTCCAGGGCTGTGCAGCAGGACCGGTGGGTGTGGTGGGGGTCCAGGTGGGTTTGCAGTGCGGGTCAGGGTACCATAAGATTGGGTCTGGTGAGTCAGACATGGGTGCAGTGCGTGCCAGGGGTCCAGCTCACGCCGTGGGCTCTGGTGCAGCCGCACGGCTGTGCCGTGTGCCGCGGGGGTCTGGCACACGCAATGCGGGTGTGCTGCGGGCCCGATGCGTGACCCGCCCCGAGCCCCCTGTGCCCCGGGAACCCCCCGCTCCGGCCCCCCGATGCGGAGCGGCGCTGGCAGCCCCGGCTGCGCCCCCCGCCTCCCCCCAGCCCGGACTGCAGCCAGAAAGGGATGAGTCACGGCGGCCCCGCACCGCGCCCCCCGCACCGCGCCCCGCACCGCTCACCTGCGCGGGGCCCCGCCGATGTCGGGGGCGGCAGCGCCGGGGTGGGGGGCTCAGCGACCTGCCGGGGAAGGGAGAAAGCGGACGGTGAGCGGCGGCGGCGGCGCGGGGCCCGGCGGGGTGCCCGGTGCGGTGCCCGGTGCGGTGCCCGGTGCGGTGCCCCCCGCCCCACCCCGCACCCCGCACCCCGCGCCCTCCCCCGCCTCCATCACCTGCGCCGGCCTCCATGGGTGCGGCGGGGCGGCCGGGAGCGCTGGAGGGATGAGGGAGGGATGGCGAAGGGAGGGAGGGAAGGATGGATGGAAAAGGGAGGGAGGGAGGGATGAGCCGTGCAGCTGCGTAATTTGCTCCCTCCTCTGCGATCTTAAAGCGACGGCGCCGCGGGTGCCTCCCCCCGCCCCCCCCGCCGGGTTTCCCCCCGTTTCTATGGCAACTCCCCTCTGTCGGAGCGGCGCAGCCGCCTCAAAAAAAGAAACCAGCCGGGTTGTGGGGTCCCTCCCCGTCTGCGAAGCCCCGCGGGCCGGGTGTGCTCTGTGCCCGGTGGCCTTGGGCTCCTCGCCCCGCGTAACCCCGGAGGAGGAGGAGGAGGAGGAGAAGGAAGGGAAGGGGGGGAGCCGGGGCGGCCCCGCGCTGCAGCCCCCCGGCCTTTGGCATCCCCGCAGTATTGCAGTTTTCATTTTAAGCAGTACAGCTCCGAGGAGATCCCTGCCTCTAATTAGTGACGCACTTTCATAAAGTAAAGTCATTAAAAAACCGGAATTTTGTGCCCCATTTCAATCCCTTCGGCTCAGCCCTAATCGCCGGGGCTGGGGTGGACAAGCAGCAGCAGCCACCCCGAGCTGCTGTCCCGGGCTGTGACTGGCGTCCAGGGAGCTTGGGAATTGAGGCTGACGGCTGGCACGGCACGGCACGGCACGGCACGTCCCGTTCTCCAGCACAGCCCGGTTACTCATGGCACTTCCCACACGCTTCCTGCTGTAGCTGTCAAGATCAACCTTCCCAAATGATTTGCGGAGGAAACGCCTCGGGAGCCCCCGCGCCGCGTCCCGCAGCCTGCGCTGGGCAGCGGCTCCTGGGCAGCGCCGTGCCCGCGGCCGGAGCGCCCAAGGTCGGCCGCGGACACCCCCGTGGGGACCGGGAGCGTCAGAGACGCACATGTGCCTGTGCTGCAAACATCCAGCCTCTGTGGATCCACATACGGATTTATGGAGGGAAATGTTGATGTGGGAAATATTCACAGCCGGAGTAGAACCTGAGCCCAGTTTGGGTCTGGACCCCAGGCCCATTGTGCTTCCCAGACGTTGCCAGCTCCCTTTGTCACGCCCCCATGGTTATTCCAGAGTTTTGACAAACCTGTTTGGTAAATACATGTCAGTCTTTCTTGCAGCACTATTTCCTGCATGATCTGTACCTCATTTATCCCGACACACAGACTGTTTTCAGTGTATATATATATCTCCTGCCTCCCATTTATCCCTGCCCGCCTCCAGCTGCCTTTTGTTTCCCTCTTTCCCGGTGAATCCAACGCACAGCCTCTCTCCTTGAAAGGAAAATTAATGAGTTATCACAGCTGCTGCCACTGGAGCAGCTCTGACCATGTGGCACAGGCAGCAGCTCTGCTGTGAGATGCAGAGTCATTCCTGATGGCTTTTGGGAAAGAAAAATGGTTTCTCCTTCCCTCTGCAGTCTGCAGTGCTTGGTCTCCCAGGATACTCTGACCTGAAGAGTGGGAGCACCACTCCAGGGAGACTGGGCCTGCTGCAGGGAAAGAGGGAGAGGTTTTCACCAAACCCAAACCCTTTTCCCAGGTCAGAAGCTGGCTCTGGAAGTGCCAGGCCTGCCACAAGGAAAAGATGCCCTTGGTTCCAGCCTTGGCCTGAGCCATGCTCCTATTCCCACCCAAAAATAGTGTTTCTTTTGCAGAAAACTGAGAGGTTTTTATTATACAGGGATGCTTTTCCCTTCCTTACACCCAGAAAAGGAACCCCTCAGAGAACAGCAGCACAGGCCCAATACTTATGTAATCAAATATTCCTGTTCAGAAAGGACACTCAGCTGGAACACCCCCACAGCCAGTGGCCACGCCATGCCCCACACTGGGGGTTCACCTGTTCTAAAGCCTTTTCAGTCCCTTAAACAGACCCTCAAAACCAAAGCACTCCAAATCCTGTGGGACAGGAACCACACACATTAAATATTAAATATTAATGTGGGCACAGACAAACAGGGTGTCACTGAGGTGAGTGAACAGCTGGAAGTCAGGTGACAGCACCACCCATCCTCTCCCATTTAAAGTAAAATCACCAAGTCCCTGACCCTGAGACGAACATATAGGATTTGATCCTTCAGAAGAAACACCAACAAGCAAAGGAAACATCTTCTGATTTTTATTGATTCCACATGAAGGAACAATGATGTCCCCAAAGCAGCTGAGTAGGGCACAGCCATTCCTCCTCCAGGTGGGGGGCAGCTGGAAACCAAGAGCTTCAGAAAATGACAGTAAAAGGGATAAAATTTATCCTAAATTAGATAAAAATGCAAAGAACTAATAATATTTCAGTTAACGCCCATTTTTAAATAGGTCTACACATGAATAAAGGTGTTAATAAGTTAAAAAGCTCTGTGAAATCAGACAATGCAGGGTTTCTAGGAAATAGAATTTCTGGCTGCAGCTTCTGGACTCTTCTAGGGCCAGTGTAACCTCTGTCTGCCTGAACACACAAAAGCAACACTGGAGACAGTACCCTGCTAGATCTTAAAATATGAAATATTGAACATTCTTTGACAGTAACAATTTTAAATAGTCTAAAATTTTTTGCTACACAGAGTAAACAGATAACTCTTACTGATGGTATTAGAGAATTAACAGATACAAGCCTTGTAAAAATAATTTAAGCTCCAAAGGTAGTCTCTGAGAAAGGTTTTATGAAATTCCTTTGAGGATTTTTATAAAATTCCTTTGAGGACTTTTATAAAATTCTCCACAATGTAAGTCTCTTACGTAGAATATATATTTTAGTGGTGTTTTATTAACATATTGTATAACTATCATGTAACTCATCATGTAACTATAAATATTAATAGTAAGCTCTGTAGTGATCACCTGGGGCAGGACCCCTGCACCAGCCATGGCTGGGTGGTGTAGAGGGCACGGAGCTCTGCTCATCTCCCACAGCTTGACAAGACATTCCATCCTTTTCCCAGGAAAACAATTTGCTGGAAAATGCAACCCAAGCTGTATTTTGATCAGTTTATCTGATCTTGTCAAACATGGGCCCAGCAGTGGCTGTGAGGTCAGCAAAGGGCTTGGGCTGCTGCAGCTGGAGCACCTGCTGCTTCTTCAGCACCAGAAAGATGTAAAATGTGGCTGCAGCTTCTTTCCGGCTGTTTCTCCGGCAGAGCTCCCGGAAACTGAAGGAAGACACGCCTGATCTCTTCAGTTGCTGTGTGAGGGAAGTGAGAAATCAATCAGGGCAGCTTCTGCACCAGTGAAACTGGAGCCCATGGAGTCCAAACAGAGAGCAAAGCATAGAGGGAATATCCCTGCCTGAATGGCTCAAGTGGGATCCCAGCTCCATAGAATCATGGAAGTACACACTGGTTTGGGTTGGAAGGGACCTTAAAGACCATTTCACTCCCCCACCCTGGATACCTTCAACCAGACAAGGTTGTTCCAAGCCCCATCCAACGTGGCCATGAACACTTCCAGAGATGGGGAGTCCACAACCTCCCTGGCTATTTTCCATCTGTGTTTATAGAAGTGACCCTTCACATATTAATGCCGTAAGTGTTGGTACTTATATGTGTTACTAAAACCTACAATTCCACAGAATTCCATTACATCAGTGAGTGCTTCCATCATGCTTTGTGATTGATAACAATAAAAATGCTTGAGCAGTTCTTTGGGATCAGTTATCTCTTGTTTTTTAAAGGCTGTACCTAGGGGTAAATATTTATTTACTGTTTGCACAGACTTTTGAAATACATTCAGAAAAAAAGAGCATTCAGAAAATTCTAGTAATTCCAGCATCTATGGAAAGGAACATCACACACTGAGCACCCAGAATCCTGATTTTCCACAGAAATACCAAAAAAAGCACATGCTGCAAGTGAGAAAGGGAAACAGAATACACAGTAGAAGGAAGAGCTTTTCTAACATGGTTCAGCTGAAATCAACACCAGCTTTTGGTATCTAATAGCAAAATCCAGCACTGGTACCTGTAAAGTTTTCTGTAAGCGAAGAGTTCTTTTGCCCCATCTTATTTCTTCATTACTGTCTTTCCCTGTTGTTGTTTGCTCCTTGAAAGGAAGTAAACAGAAAGTTAGTCAGGGTTTGTAAAAAAATCACACACCACAAGAAAAAGGACAGGAGTTCCATGCTGGCTGAAAATCCAGATGGAGCTGGATGTCTGGATGGCCAAACTCAGGGAATCTGGAGCCTCTGGCACCTCTGTGCTCACACAAGGCTGTGTGAAACAAAGGAAAGAATGGGACGTGTGTGCTTTGTGCTCAGAGACAGCTCAGGTGCAACATGGACATGGTCCCAGTGAGGCAGCTCCACAGCCAGGTACTGCTCTGTGGCACTGGGATTCTGACAGGATTTGCACTGGCCAGGAGCTTAAATAGATATTCAAATATTTGACTTGGGATTTTGGGTTTAACCTCTGAAGCCTGCAGCTGACTGCCCTGGTTTCAGAGTACCTGAACATCCTCAGAACCAGCAGGGTTGAATTGAAATTATTTCCTTCTCACAGGAAGAAAACTCCCTGGAAGTTCACAATGCTATTTTTTTTTTTTTTTTAAAGAAACAGGGTTCTCTCCTGAAACAAGCCAAGGCCATCAGCTTAGGACACACACCTCTGGCACCTCCACCTGCTGTGCTTCAACCTCCTGGACCAGGGAATTTTTGGAGCTCTCAGAGAAAGCTGCTCCATCCTCCTGTCAACATGAAGAAGACAATCACCATGCCTGGCTATTTATGCACACAGTGCAATTCTCTTTACACACTTCTCAAAGAATTTATTGTAATGAAGTTTTTCAAAATAAGTTAATAGCTGCTATTTCTACCATGTCTTTCCTGATACAGGGAAGGACTTTGCTGTAGGATTTATCCACAGATTAATCTAAACCTATGGGCAGAGGTCAGGCATGGAGCACTCATTTTCTGCTGCCATTAGCTCCAATTTCATCACTTTTCAACACTAATGAGCCTCATATTCTCTAAAGAATGCCCTTTAGCAGAAGTGAAGATGAAGGAGATATTGCTTAAGTATTTCCTCAATATG